CTGATTCGCCAGGTCTGCCTGGAGGGTGGAAAGCAAGTGGTGTTGTCCCTACATTCTGCAAGGTACCAGACCCACCAAAGGGATCATTCAGAACCTTCCCATCTACTGAGAACAAAGCAGTTGCAATTAATTAGCATGAAACTGTACTTTGGCCACTCTCCATCTCCACGGTTGAGCATTCCAGGTCAGTGTGGTAGACCACGTTGTCAGACATCACCAAGTACAACTTGACAGCACTGTCCAGGGCAGCACAACACAGAAACTAGAAGAATGTCCTGGCCAGCAGCACCAGACCAAGGGCAATGCCTGTGGCTGAAACCCTGAGGGGTCACTGGGGATGTGGCTGAAGACACCAGTGCAATCCCTGGCTGTGGAGGCTGCAAGGTTGTCCATGCTTGCATGCCTGCTCACATGGAAAAGCTGTTGAATTTCCAAGAACAGCACCTCGTAATGAAGGATTTTTATTTGAAATCCAAATTGTTCACGAGATGAGTCTGATCAGAGAATGGTTTGGGTTGGAAGATGTTCATGCAGGTGAAACTCCATCCTGTCTTTCCTGCTCCTCCAAGCAGGGCACCAGATGTGGGGGATCCTGAAGGAGTGCACCGGCCAACAGCTCAGAAATTCTCATACAAATTCAGCAAGCACACATGCTTTTCCCAAAAGAATAATTTGCTACTTTCATCACTAGAAATGTGGATTATTCTTCCCTGTGAGGTGCTGAGGCACTGGCACAGGTTGCCCAGAGAAGCTGTGGCTGCTCCATCCCTGGGAGTGTTCCAGGCCAGGTTGGCTGGGGCTTGGAGCAGCCTGGGCTGGGGGAAGGTGTCCCTGCCCATGGCAGAGGACACCAGGTCTGGCTGTACCCTGTGCAGACACACTCCAGCCAGGGCTTCTGAGCAGCACTGCTTGTCTCTGCAGTCCCATGTTGTGTCTGAAGCATTTCAGTACCTCCAAATCAGAGCTGCCCCAGGGCTGGAGGTGCCTCGGCAGTGCCAGCATGGGGGGATTCTCACAGCTCTGGTCCTGCTGCCACACCATGGCTGGTACAAGCAGGTGCCCTTGGCCTTCTTGCCTACCTGGGCACATGTTCAGCCACTGTCACCTCCATGATGTTGTCTCTCAACATGCAACAAGAGATAGTTTTAAGGGCAAGTTCTGCTCTTTATTTCCTCTCCCTCCACCTAAGCCTTAGAAATCACTTACCTTCAGGTCAGAGATGCCATAGCCTTTCCTCAGGGTGATCTGGAACACCTCTAGGTTGCTGAGGAAAGCTGCCAGGCGGGTCAGGCTCTGCTTCCCACTGCCCCCGACACCGAGCAGCAGTGCATTCCCCCGGGGAGACTCCAGGATACGGCTGATGCGGCACCTAAATTGAAGCACACAAAGCCTCTCATTAAGAAGAGCATTTTTCCATTTCTCTGCCTGCTGCTTTTCAATACATATTTTATTCCCCAAGAAATTGTATTCTGAATGGGCTGGAAAATGTCAGTCTTGGAGACGTGTCAGCAATCGATGCCAGCTCTGCCGAGGCCTGGCCAGACCATGCTGCTGATGAAAATCCAACACTTCAGTGGCGATTCAGACTGGGCTCAGGTTTTTTCCACCTGCTGGATAGAACTGTCACAGTGAGGGCCTGGATAGCTTTACAGGAAGGGCAAGGGGAAAAGGACATCGCACTGACATGCAAACACTGAGAATAGAAGTCTTGAAAGGTTCTGATACACCTCCCCAGGCGAGGCCTCTCTCAAGGAATTTGGGGCTCCTGCTCAGAGGAGGAGTCCTGCTGTGCATTACAGCACCTGAGCACATTCACACACCTCAAGTGGCACAAAACCTGCCTGGAGAACACAGTCCGTGTTCCTTACCCAAACCAGCACAGCTTCGGAGTGAGACTTTCTCACTCTGAAAATGAACTTGCTGTTATTTTCCAGGTCTGATCACTTGTCCTGTCCCCAAGACACACAGTGAACTCTGCCTACCTCCCTTTTCCTCCCTTCAAGCACATGCTGATCCCCCCACATGTTTACACCCCATCTGAGGGGGGGTCAGAGCATCCTCCCTGTGCAACCCTCCCTGTCCCATGGCTGAAACTCAAGCCCAGCCTGCCCTCAGAGCACTGCCTGAATTCAGCTCCATCCAGCATTACTCAGCTCACTTCACTATTTCTCTAGACTGAGCTAATTGATTCTTCACATCAGACTGAGAAACACTGCACTGTTTTATTGCAGCTCCAGTATTTTATGATCTATGTGCAGACTCTGACTGAGTTTTATGATATTCTAATTATAATTCCATCATTTCAGTGAAATGGTTCCCACAAAAGCAATGCAGGCTGTGGGAAGAGCCTTAGCATTCCTTGTCTCCCTGCTCCCAGGGCTGCATGTTGTCCCTGCACCACAGGACTGACACCTATCTCCCACGTCCGTACATATACTAAGTCCTCACATTTCCTTTTCTCTTGATTTTTTTCACCCAACCAAAGATTCACCCAACTGATTGCTCAAATTCAGCAACTGGCCCATCATTCCAGCCTCCTCCATCCTCCAGGGAACATCACGGACACAACCTGCACACACAAATGCCATGATGAGAGCACAAAGCAGGAAAATCCCCTTACACATGGCACATGGCATCTTCAAACAGCACCAGGCTCATGGCAGCATTGACTTCATTGTAGTTCTCCAAGGCTTCCACGAGGATCCGGTTCAGCTCCTCCCAGGTTGGAACAGGACTATATCCAGGTTCCCCAATGCCTTTAGCAAAGTGGCAATAAACATTCATGCGCTTGGTCTGCTCTAGAGTTTCCTCAATGTCCTGTAAAAGAGCAAAAAAATGTTCATAACAAGCAGAGGAAAACCTACTGCAGCTCGGTGCCACCTTCCAAGGGGAGTATTGGTGTTCCAACCTTTTTGTGCCCATATTGTTGCACCTGCATGTTGGAAAAGGGGAAGGAGAGCGCAAGGAAAATCCCTGACCCTGACTTCCCTTCCAACAAACTCATTCTGTGGTTCTGTAACATGTCATCATCAAAGTTATGACTCTCAACACTTACGTCATAGAATTTCTTCACCATATCCCTCTGGATTTTATCAAAGGTTTCATAATCCTTTTCTTCAACCATCTTATCCCTGTACACACGGTTTGACTCATGCAGGTAGAGCTTCAGCAGGTCTTGGGGTTGCTTCAGACATTCAGGGGTCGAGAAGAGAAGGCCCTGTGGAGAGCAAAGTCTCTCAGGGAAGCCAAGCTGGGCACAGCTGGGCTACTCTTACAGCAACTTCTGACTGAACTGCTGGATAATCCCCCACTCAACAGCCCCTGAAGAATATTTCTTTGTGACCCAAATCTTCCAAAGCTGCTTGAGGAGCTCTTGTCCTGCTCCTACCCTCTGGCACAGCATCCAGATCTGGCAGGAGGTTTTCCAATACCTCACAACCCTTTCCAGCAGACAACAGCTCGAACTAAAGCTGCTGTTCTCTCCCTGCACCTTTGAAAGCTCAGATTAACTGGAGCCAGGATTTAACATGAGCCACATCTAACATCAGAGGCTGCTGATGTTCAGCTGAGCACAAGTGACAGGTCTGAGTCCTTCCTGGCACAATGGAGTTATTAACTAGTCCTGCTCTCAGATTTCCCATGTCTGTCATTGCTTCAGCTCTTGTCTGATAGACCAGACATGAGGCACTGAACTTTGAGTACCTGCTTTGTAAAACAGCTGTTAACAAGGACAGCAACAAATTACCAGCCAGAGGGTTGGGACAGGTTATGGTGTTTCAAACCTCTCAATTTGGCTGCTGAGAAATAGCTCAAATGTTATTCATCAGCCTGAAACTCTGAAAGTTCCTTTGAGCACTAACATCTACTGCTTCAGAGCATGAGGTGCTGGGGAGAGTAGAAACTCAAAAACTCTCCAGCAATGAAGAAAGTGTTTCTAAAGCTGAACAACTTCCCTTTGGCACAGAATCACAGAACCATCAAGGAGACCTCTAAGATCATCAAATCTAAGCATTAACCTGTCCCTGCTGGAACCCCTAAACCCTAACCCAGATCCTCCAGTGCCACATCCAGACACCTCTTCAGCACCTCCAGGGATGGTGACTCCACCACCTCCCTGGGCAATATCCCAGTGCCTGAACACCCTCACAGGGAAAACATTTCCCTACCATCTCCTCTGACTCCTTGGAGACCTGTGCACACTGTGGGCTCACACTGAGCTGTGCCACCAGCACTGCCAAGTCCTTTGTGACCAACACCTCTGTCCCCACCGCTCCCCCAGCCTGGAGCTGCATGGGCTGTTGTGTGCCAAGGGCAGGACCAGCACTGAGCCTCACTGACCCTCATGCAGTTGTCCTCAGCCCACTGATCAAGTCAGTCTGTGTCTCTCTGTAGAGCTTTCCTGCAGAACTGGCTGGTAATTCACATTCAGTGAATAATTCAAAGCTGGTTGTGAGTGGTTTATCAGCTCTTTAAATGCCATCCTGCCTGTCCATGCTGAGCACCTGAGACATGGCAGTACAGGTCACCAAGCTGTCCTGGCTCTGGCAGAGCAGCTGAACCAGCTACTGCTCTTGAAGGCCAACAGAGTATCCACCACCTGCTCCATGCAATAAGTAGTTTCCCTATGTGGTGCAGCAGTGTCATCAATCCTCACACTCACACGAGTGGAGCTGAGGCTCACAAAGACAAACCCAACTCCATCACACTCACCAAGAGCCACTGCATGAAGGGCTGAAGTCAGGAGCCCAAAGCTCCTTCTGGACACTTCAACCCCCCCAAAATCTGCCCCTTCTTCTGGAACTGTTCACCCCTTCCTGTTGACCATGGGTGGTTGGAAAGTAAATAAGCTTCTAACTGATGTTGCACAAATTCATGGATCATGGCTTTGGAATCTGGCCAGAACCAAACAGGAATTAGGGAAAGGCCCAAGGTCATCCCCTTTACTCAGGACACACACACACACTGTGGCACTGCTGGTGGGACAGTGCTTTGCTCACAGTCCACAGCCTCCTATGGCATTAGGACATGCTGCAAGTGCCTCAGGACAGGAAGGACACTTACTTGGAAGATGTTGGAGAAGTCTCTCAGGTTGAAGATGTAGTGGAACTTGACAGCTGTTGGCAGGAAGGTGGCAGCCACTTTCCTATGCAGCCCCAGGGAGAGAGCAATGAGCTGCTGAGCTGAGTTTTGCACAGCCTCTGAGAAATTCCCACTTGTCAGATGCTGCACCAAAATGGTGCTATAGATCCTGGACAAGGCATCCTGGCCAGGGCTGGAGAGAGCAAAGACGCAGAAGTGACGCTGACAAGAGAAAGGAAGACATGGAAAGGTCAGAGATGGGCAACAGCCTCCCGAGTCAAATGCCCTTTGGGGACTTGCTGCAGCTGGATACAGGGCTAGAGAATCTCACATGGGCTACTCTTCCCAGGGCAGGTTGCCCCACATGATCTTTTGAGGTCCCTTCCAACCTGGAATACTCCATGATCCTGTGACTTGCAGTCTACCAGAACTGTCTTCCCTTCCAACCTCCCAGCAGAGGACAGTTGGGAGGTGACACTTTCTGCTTGCTGAACAAGGGATTTTCAATGGAATTTCACAGCTCCTATGTTGGAAGCTCAGTCCATGGAAGAGCTGAAAGGTCTGAAGGTGCCACCAACCCCTGATGAAGCCCAGCCCTGTCTGGTAGGAGCAACCCCTGGAAGATGCCATCTCCCAGGAAACCCTTGACTGATCTGGAGATGGCAGAGACAGAGGAGATCATAGATCCACAGAATTATTAAGATTGGAAAAGACCTCCAAGATCATCAAGCCCAACCTTTGACCAAATCCCACATTCCCACTAAACCTTTGCACGAAGTACCACATCTCATTTTTGAACACTTCCAGGGATGGTGACTCTGCCACTTCCCTGATGCCTCTCCATCAGCAGTCAGTCACCTGGCAGATCCATGCCATTGCTACTGACCAAATGACAGCAGGATGTGCCAGAGGTGGTCCTCAAGCCTCACGTTCAAGCAATCCATCCAAAACCAAACCCAGGGCTGTTCCTGCCATCACACAGGGCTTTACCTGCAGCCGGGGGTTGATGGTGAAGCTCCCCGCAGTCGGGTTCATGCAGGACACATACTGCACATTGGTGATCTCCTTCAGTGACAGCCTGGTCCTGTCATACCTTTGGGCAAAGCAAAAGCAGCAGATGGTGACCACAGCAGCAGTTGTCCCTCGGAACGTGTCCTTCTGGCATCAGAGGGGTCACATCCTGCCCCTTACTGGGGCAGAGCCCAGGGTTGATGTGTGTTTGCACATGGCCCAGCACACACAGGAAATCCTTCAGCTCCAGCAACCTGTGGCTGATATTTCCATCAGGTGATAACAAGCACTGAGCAAAGATGCAGCTCAGACCTGTAACTGGTGTGGAAATTGAGGGAAATCATAAGATTTGGGCTATCCTGGGGTGGGGTAGGTGACGCCTGTGGGGAAGGATGGGGGAGCTGCTGGTGCAGCCCCTGGAGCAGAGCCACAGGGTCACTGCTGGGGCCAAGGCAGCCCAAGGGTGCAGAGCTGTGCCCCTGTCCCTCTTCACTGCCCTGGGGTGGCTGCACTCAGCTGGGCTGTGAGCAGGGGCACCAAGGGAGCAGCACCCCAAAAGCACTGCCAAGAGCAGGACAGAGCCTGGCTGTGCCTGGGAGGGGACAAGCAGCACGTGTGGTGCCCCCAAGCTCTGCTGAGAGGGGGACAGTGAGCCCAGAGTGTCCTGTTCCACACAGCACTGCTGTGGTGTGAAACACATCAATCTCCTTCCAAACCACTGTCACTCGTTTTCCTTCAAATTCCCTCTGCCTGGAAAATGCCTGTTTGCTGCTGCCTGATGGAAAACAGCATCAGGTGCTCTCAGCAAGGGCAGTACATCCTGGCTGAGGTCAATCCATGGCTTTCCTCCTCTCAGCATCACAGGGTGTGAGGGCTGAGCATGGAGCTTTCCGTGCAGGATTTGCACTGGGCCCAGTCAGGAGCTGAGCAGGAGTGGAGCAAAGCTCCCCTCAGCCAGGCAGGGAGTGTGATTGCTGGGGGCAGGAGACACCCTGAGGGTACACAGTGCTCCATTCACCTGGAGCCTCCCAGGCAGCTCCAGCACAGCCCAGCAGGATCGCACGGTCAACACGGGATGGGAAGAGGAATCTGTGCTGTTACTTCCTCTCAAAGCCCATCCCCAACACCAGAGCTGATCACAAAGGTGACCCAAAGCCCCTCAAGCCCCAGCAGCCTCCTACCAGTGGCCATAGTCCAGGTGTTGCCTGAGCAGCGTGTGAGGCTGCACCGTTCCATACGTGTCCACCTCAGGCATGTTCAGGTCATCAATGAAGTAGATGAGCCTCTTGGTCCCTGGAGGGCCGTAGTTCCTGCCAGCCTTTTTATCCAGAGGCTTCTCCAGCACACCTGTAGAGGCAGAGGTGTAAGAAGCCATTCCTCAGCCATCTCACTGCCTGCTGTGAGCAGCTGAGCAGCACCAGGAGCAATGTGCAGGGTAGGAAGGGTCCACGGAAGGACAGTGGGAAGCTCTCGGTCCCCTCAGCTCCATCGGGGCTCTTCACTGCTTTTGTGGAGGAGGAGCTGGGCTTGGCACAGGATGCTGCTGCCCAGCAGGATGCTGCTGTCCCCAGGCTGTGGCTATGGAGCAGCCAGGAGCCCTGTGTGGGGCTGACAGGAGGATGTCTGTCCCCAGGCCTGTATGGGGCTGGCAGAGACCTTTGGGCAGATTTTTGGTGTGACTCAACCCAAATCACAAAGTTCTCAGTAGCCCAGGTTGCTCAAGGCTCATCCAACCTGGCTGTGAACACTGCCAGGGTTGGGGGCAGCCACAGCCTCCCTGGGCACCCTGGGACAGTGTCTCACCACCCTCACAGGGAAAACTTCTGGGGAGTTTGGCATCACCATCACCCCAAGTCCTTCTCCCAGGGCTGCTCTCAGTGACTTCTCCCCCAGCCTAGAGGTGTGTCTGGGACTGCCCTGACCCATTCTGCTTTTCTCAGATGACAAATCCTTTAAAACCCCATTTTGCCCTGCCCAGTGCCCTGCAGACATCCTGCCTGTCCCACTGCCCACAGTTCAGCCATTTCCTTGCCACAGACACTTGCTGCACAAAGGCCTAGATGGTGCTCAGAGAAATGATGGATTTTTCCTCAGCAGAGTCTCTCTCCCCCTTCAACAAACCCACAATATTTGAAATTTCTGGTAGCAAGATAAATTAAGTGTTTCAAATAAGCATTCAATTTAAATTTAATTAGGCCTTAATTAACGTATAAAATCAGCCCTTTTTGAGGTTAAACAAGGATGCAGGAGATTCATCATAGTGAAATGCAATTACTGGGGATGAAGTGACATGTTTGTGGAAGTTGCATTTTAATTCAAAGCCTCAAACCACAATAATCCTGAAGGGTCCCTGTTGCTGCCTCTGAGCTCCTCATCAGCCCCTGAATGAAACACCCTCCACACACCAGATGTGACAAGTGTGGCTCCTCTCACCTGCTGCCTGCTGGTCAAGGTGGGTAAAGATACCACAAGCCCCAAAACCCAACATTTATTGCCATCTTCTCAAGGCAGATCAGCAGTGGAAGTTGTGGAATGACAGCAGGGCTAGAGCCAATGGAGGAGTGAGGAGGAGCAGAGGTCCACAAGGGCATGAACCACCAGAGGTCCAGGGTCCACAGACAGTGATAGTCACAATACACCACAGAAAATCCACAGACTGGCCCCAGGTTTGGGCTCAGATAGTTTCTGACTCCTTTAACTCCTATGCACGTGGCCATTCTGTACCCACAGGTCCTCAAGGGTGGTTTGAGCCACATCCCTGTGCTGCCCCTGGAGGGTGCAGCTCTGCACCTTAGAAATCTCCTCCCCAGCAGGTGCCTTGTCGAAGAATTCCTGGCTCCCAGGTTAGGCTCTTTTTTAAAGTACATCAAAATCAAAGCCCCAAACTGCTTTGTAACCGCATTTTACAAATCTAAAGAGGCACCTGCTGGGAAAAAAAAAATCACCCAACTGACAAACTCCACAAAAAGGGACAAATTAGCTCTAAAAATGAGCAGGAGGGAAGGAGGCCAAGCAGCATAAATCACCCTGCCCAAAGCACATCTCCCAGCCACATCTTCATCCCCATGATGAAGATGTGCTCTGCTCTGCAGAGGAAGGATGTCACCAGCTCAGCCCACAGCTCAGAGCAAACAGGGGACTCCTGACAGCTCTGCCTGCCTCAGCTCCACACCTGCACACACTCACCTGGGAGATAAAGCAGCTCAGGTCCCCCCAGGCAGCTGGACAGGCACAGCTGAGCCCATTCACCAGCCCAAGGGCATTCCCAGTCCTCACACAGGGAGGAAAGGAAAAGGGAGGCTGTAACCATCACACAGCCCAGGGCTGAGACTGGCCAAAATGGGAGATTTTACCCAGTTTAACCTCGAAGGACAAATAATTTGCATTCTCACTGTGTGCTGAGGTACAGGCACTGCCCCACGGGGCTGATGGCACAGGCAGGAGGCACCAGCAAGCCCAGAAACCCTCCCAACCTGCCCCAGGAAGCTGATGTGTCCCCACAACAAGGCCCCAGGTCACAGAGCATGGGCTGGGCCTGTGCTGTGAGCAGATGAGTCCCAGAAGGCAATTTTAAGCTCTGACACCTTTTGTAAAAAGTGTTTGGAGCCTGGCAGAGCATGGGCAAAGCCCTGGATGCTCTCAGCATCAGCCTGGGCCGTGAGCATGTCCTACCTGGCACCACTCAGCCAGGAACAACCCGAGCAGTGAAGGCTAATCCTTGGTCTCCCTGATGCTTAACAGATCCTCATACAATCACAGAATGGTTTGGGTTGGAGGAACTCTAAAGTTCATCCCATCCCACCCCTGCCATGGGCAGGGACACCTTCCACTAGCCCTGGTTGCTCCAAGCCTTGTCCAGCCTGACCTGGAACATCCCCAGGGATGGAGCAGCCACAGCTGCTCTGGGGAAGCAGAAGGATTTCAGGCCATTTGGGCCAAACCATGAAGCAGTTTGTTATATGGTGACCCACAGGTGTTATTCAGCTCCAAACCAACCAGGCTGCTTCATTACTGGTTAATTCATACATGTACAACTATTTTCTCTCTCTTTGGACACCATTCCAAAATAAGCCACTTTGCTCATTTCCAAAATGACTCCATTTTTCTCTTAATCTCTGAAGAGACTACAAAGCAAGACCCAGGTAATCACAGCTCAAATTTCTGCCAAGATCCTCATCAGTGGTATTCTCATGGACTTCACAGGGCCAGCAATTCCCTGAAGCTCTGATCCCGCTCCCCAGATCAGCAAACCTCGTGCTCCTGGGGAGTGAGGGGTGTGAGACCTGCTCCATGGGAGCACCTCGGGCTGCAGCAGGATGGGAGGACAGTCCCAGGAAGCAGTCCTGGCTTACAGCCTGCACACAGCCATTAGCACCATCCTGGCTGCTAATTGGGATGCAATTCCCAGCATTGCCCCCTGAGGACAGTTTGGAACCTCGACAAGAAACCCATCCTGTTCAGCGCGGGCTGAAATTCCAGCGTGTTAAAGACACACTTCAAGTCAAGTACAAGCCATAAAAGAGCAGCAAAACGAAGCCCCTGCTATGGCACAGCCCGGACCCAGAGCTGTGGGGCTCAGAAATCAAATCCTCCTGTGGATCCTCCTGTCATCTCCCACAAAACTGCCCTAGTGGGAATTAAGGGTCTTCAGGTGCCAGTGCAGTGGCCACAAACAGCACAGGCAGCTCACCCACGGCTTTTCCCCTCAGCATCCCAGGGCACACCTGGCTCCAAGCCCTGCTGGACATCCTGGGAGGTGGTAAGGTGCCAGGCAGGAGTCCTGTGACACAGCCAGTCCTTTCCCT